AAAGTGGAAGTAAATGTTCCTAAACATGAATTAAATGATGATTGGTTATGAAAACAAAATCAAATTGAATGAATCCTTTATTTGACATTTAAGAAAATAATAATTGAGTTTCATTTATTCCAGATAGAAATATCTTATACATACATGAAAAACCATTCTGTTCATAATTAAAATAATTCTACTTAAAAACACTCGAACACTTCATAGTAAGAAAAGTCCAGCAATGACTGCATTAACTTGGCTTTTAAAATGTCACTTATTAGAATTATGTTCAAAATATTAACAACTGGATTATGATTTAATAACCTTAATATGACTTATTTTTTGGTAGTATTTTAGTGGCCAGAGATCCGACTCCGATTGAATCGTATGAATGATTGTTATTGAAATATACACGTCACCAATCCTTGTATGTAATCACCGATTTAACTCTCGTTAGTGTATAACGAAATTAAATAAGTCAAATACGAGAATGAATTTCGAATACGTATGTTTCATGCAATCGTTGATCCAGACAAACGATCGGAGACATAAAACGAAGATAAAGAACAGAAGGGAGAGAAATAAAGCGCAGTAGAGAAGGCATGTAGGCCAACTTGACTTATCCAAGCGTTAATCGATACTTATAGCCCAAAAACGTAAGTTACAGACATATGATGAATAAAATAGGAAGCGCACACACATGCGCTCATACAAAAATAGTCAAGGTTGATAAGCAAATAATTAACAGGGTCGGAATGTGACTCAAGAATGATGAAAGATTGGCCTGTCTGGAATCTAGAATAAGCTATGTGGGCTTGTATAGCACTACAGTACCTCACATTTTCAGAAACAAGTAATAACAGCTGAAACTGAACCATGTTTCTGTCCAAACAAATAATGCTGTTGATGAGGAGAGAAATTCGGGATATGTATAACGTTCAGTGGAATATAGGTATTAAAAAATGAATGAACTTAGATAGAACGAAAGACGTGTTATGAATATCGAAGCTAACCATTACCATACTAAGCAATACAATTTTAATCTGGTTGCTTTAGAAATTCAACAAACAAGCTTTATTAATCTGTGCATTTAGCGAAAGTAATTTTAAGATTTATTTCAATCTGTCAAAACCTTTTTAATGTCATCAATAATAACTTCACTGTATTTTTAAATGGTTCGGTATAACTGCAAACCCTGATAGATAAAATTAATAAATAACCATACAAAGTGTTCACTTTATTGTGTCACTAAATCCAACTCAAGTAAACTAAAATACATGTCATAAGAAATGATCAAATTTTAGATAAAGCTGAAAAAGGTAAACATTATCGAAGTCATGTCACTTTTTGATCGCTGAATATTTGAATATGAATAATTTATAGAGTAATCATTGACTTATGCCATGTTTAACCTCTTCAGTTAAATTATATGAATTAAGTGCAGATAAATGCGTGACATATGTGTTAGCCGACTTTTAATCTCTATGATTACTATTTTTCGGAACTTGTGTTTTTCATTTCCATAGTTAATTTGTTTTTACTTAACAATTCACATGTTTCTTCATTATATTTTAGAAACGAATAGCATGTCGATGTACATTGTGAACTGGTATCATAAAATCACTAAACTAACGAAAATGAGATATGCCGTTAGGATGCTCTACTTTTTCGAATAATCAATTAACACTAGGTTAGAAATATTCCACTAAAGATGTTACTGAATTTTTTTAGGACAATTAGTCTCACAATTGAATGATAAATATTTCTTATTATGAAATGACTAGTTTATTGCAATTTTTGTTATATAGCCACTTACATAAATGAAATAACATCTCAGTAAACTATCGTTCATGACGATTTATTAAAACTAATCGTCTTTATGCTTCACATCCAAATGTCTTGGTTTTTGGGATCGATTGGTAAAGAAAATATTCACTGTTACGTTTCATATAATTACATCCAGTAACTTGAGAGTAGTTTTCTCCAGTTTGATTATTAGAGATTATGAGATCATGTTACTTACATAAATGTATAATTTAATAATTCTACCTTGATGAATATTTTCAACTACAGACTGGTTTTAGTTGCTGATCTAAAATCAAACCATGTTTGAAAAAATAATTACATAAGATTGTGATGAATTTGATAATGATAAAAGGTGTGGATCAAAACGGTAAAAAATGTAATTATTGATAATTACTCGATAAATCAAAAAGGTCAACAAGAGTTATAGAAATGTTCAATCAGGTGTTTAGTAAGATTATTAAACAATTATTTCCCATTTCATTATTAACAGTATAGATTAATGAACAACAGACTTTTATGAGATGCCAATATAATCTAGATGGATATCAAAATCAGTTATTTAAAATCAAGTAGTTTCGCCGCTTCTAATCATTTAATTGGATTTGTTCCAGTTTAGTTTTTTCACAGGTGTTATGAATAGAACCAATAAGTATCCATCTGTGCAATCATTTAAAACTTACTGTACATAATTTCATCAACTTAATTAGCAATGTTAGTGATTCCGATAGTTTAACTACACAGTGATTAGCTGAGTAATATCAGCATTTTAGTTGACAAGGAAAACCCCAATTTATGAAGCAAATCTCAATACGAGTAATCAGATTACATTTTAAAAAAAAAACAAATAAACGATGACATTCACTGAGTTAAAAATGATAATTTATGACTGAAAAGTCTTCGAATATCTAAACAAAGAATTTCAGTCGACAACTTAACAAAACATAAGCACAAATTTGACTTCCTGAGGTTCTCATAGCTATAACAATAATTCTTTTAATTGAAATGAATTCAAACAGAGATTTACAATTCATTCACAAATAAATAGCGATAATATAAGATTAAATTCACCCTGAAATTAAAGAAGTTATCTTATTATGATATCTTATAAACGAAGGTGATTAAACATTAGACAATTCTAGTCTGGTGGTTGCGACATTAAATAAGGGTAAAAATGTTTTCCAATTAAGCTTATCACACCCACATAATATCTAATTACTGTTATCTGGCCTGTAAATTAACAACCATGTTTTCATGTTTATTAAGTTAGACGTTTAGATTTGTCTTCAAAAAGACTAATCAACACCTTTTCAAAAGATCTACAGGTTTGATTCGAATCAGATTATGAAACAGGATTCCCCTAATTTTGTCTGTACAACAACACAGAGATCTTGTTTTTTAAATAAACATGCTACTTTTTTATAATTTGCCTCACTCCGTGAGAATCACGAGAAGGAAAGTAGGCCAATAGAAGTTTTTATCTAAAATGTCAACATGTTTGGTTGTCTATAAGAAAGGTCAATCTAGCGGTGAGGACCATTATAATAGACTGTCACACGTGTCTTGTTGACTAATCAACAAAAATGTCTGTATGTTCTATCCGGTTACATAACACATGAAGTCTTCTTTAATATTTGAGTAAATGAATTGACGCATTTATCAATAATCATTTTGATACTTTATATTAATTGAGATACGGATGGTCAATTAGTTTTTTATCACAAATAAATAATAGATAAGGGTCAAATAACTTGAAAACAAATATCCTTTTCAAAATTGACCAGTTTTGATAAGTAAATTCCAATGTATATGATGTATATAATCTACAATCTTAAATTGGGATGCAAATTAAATCTTACTCTATCAACTAGTTTTCATTACCAGACTGTCTTTATTTCATCCGTGTGTCATAACCAGTTAATATCAATAGTTTGGTTTATTAAAGGCTTAGTTAGTCTTCAACTAACCGTTTTTCAAGTTCTACGTTTCAGATATTTCCTTTCTCTCTCTAACACAAGTTATACACTAAACTATCAAAGGCCAGACTTTACAACGTAAAATAGGTTATTCGGTTGAAAGAACTATTGTCAAAATGTACAAAGAAGTATTGGAAAGATGCATTTAATCATTTTGATTATGAAGGGTCGGGATACGAATGTAAGAAGTTTCTGTTAATTTACATTTTAACAAGTACAGAATAGTGTTCATCTATGATCCCTGTGGGCATGAAAATATGCATAATCAGTTAATGTAATACAGATTCTTAAAGTTGATCCAAAGTGTAATACGATTCAGAAAAGTGGCACTTGGGCAAAACTATGTAAATCATTACGTTGTATAACTGTTAATCCGCTAAATGTATTTATAAATTTACGTGTACCTGCCAAAGCAACTACATTGGCCAGACGGAAAGGAGAGCATATGTAAGATATTTTGAGCATGTTCCAAAAATCCTTAGAAGAAAAAGAACGACTATAAACAATGCAATTTTCAAACATCTCTTTGATATAGGACATCAGGTAGATAACATGCAATATTTCGAGGTGTTTAGTAAGCAGCCAAATTCCGGTTTACCAAAGCGGTTGCTATCATGCTTTAATAACCTGATTTTTATGTTCAAAAGGACATGACTATTATTCTTTCCTTGCCTTGATGACAATTACTCCTTCGTTGCATCTTAAACTTTTTCTTGTATTTATTACATCATTAAGTTATTATTTCAATTATCTTCCGGGTTAGTGATCTCATTTTATTAACTGAGCTTTGCTCACTTCATTCCTATCAGCGTTTACTCATTATGTAATCACCTATTTCTGGCTGTTTGAACTATTGCCCTATCAATGTTGTAGAATTTTCTTTTACATAAGGTATATATTTACAACATTCAGTTCATTAACATTATTTACACCCTTTTGGCGAAATTCTCCCTTGCTAAACTAATGTCTTCAACATAACCCATTTTATAATTATGATTAAGTATTACAGGTTGTAAGCTATTTACTTATTTAAACACATAAACATAGGTACAAGAAGACACCAAATAGATATGCGCCACATAAATCATTTGATTTGTGTGAGCACTAGGATACTGCACGGTTACTCAAACCGAAGCAGGTTGTAAGCAGCTGACTGATATGTGAGTGATGTAAAAACAAACAATAAATTTGTCATTTCCTTTCCTCAACTACAGAAGTAACGTAGAAAAAAAGACAAGGAAAATACAAATAATCATGTTATTCAATAAATTTTCGTATGTACAGAAACAAGGAAAGTATTATTAAAAATGTGTAAATTATCTTATATGAGAAATTAAAAAAAATTAATATTTATAACTCTATCTGTTAAGTACAATTAAATCATCATCGTCATTATCATCAACATCATCATAATAATAGTAGAATCAAAATAGTTTACAAGGAGATATTTAACTATACAATCTTACTTTAAAAACATAAAAATCTGGAAATCTTTATACAATAAATAGGTGTTTATGAAATTAATAAAAGGCAATAACAACTGTATATCATCTGAATGAAATAAAAACAAATTAAGAAAGACTCAATTATAATGAATGTTTGCGTGAAAAATTTGAATCTGTATGAGAGCATGGTTTAATTTTAAATTCAACAAGTTCACAACCACGTATAAGATTTCGAATTTCTTCTACATCCAGATTATCGCATGACAAACCTTGAACTTCTAAAATTCTATCACCAACATGAAATACATCCCAAAGTTTAGCCGCACATCGAACACTTCCCAACCGAGTCACATATATACCTGAAAGACAAAAAGATACAATGAGAGAGGAATTTGATATTACGTTTAAGTTTATTAGTTGAGTAAAGTAAACTAATGTACAGACTGTCTTCGGTATAAATCAAAAGAAAAATATAAAAGCTGCAAACGATATCAGTTTGCACTAAATTGACACGAACACGACAGTAATAGTAAAATGACAAAAGAATCAGTGAAATTTATCAAAATTTACCTTTAGAGTCACGAGCAATAAAAAACCCGAATTGCCCATTTATTGATGAACGTCTCAATGAGATCTGAATAGAGCCATCAGGATTTTTACGTACAACTTTACAAGTGAGTTTGTAGGGTGTAGCTTCAGGGTTTTGTTGTATATTTAGATCAGTTGACTGGTCTGGATTCCTTGGAAGGGATGTATAATTGCAGTTATTGGGCTCTCTGGTGTCAGATGGCGTAGAAGAACTTTTGTTTATTCTGTCAGCGCTGATTGCTCTCCTCAGATGGCTAAACTTTCGTTTTAAATTTTGAAGTACTTGGACAGTAGCAGAATTACGAAGACCCAATCTGTAATTAAACAAGTAAAAAATAATTTGATGATTAGTTTTAAAATGTCTACCATAAATCTAAAATGAGATAAAAATAAATAACCTGAATTATGAACATTTTATAATCCTTTGTTTACATTTAGTGCGTGTTACTAAGCTGTTTGACCTGAAATATGGATGATTTCATAATCACAAGCATTTGCAACAAAACAAACAATAAAGGTTAGTTGATAAAATAATGAGCAAGTATAGCAACAAATTATAAACCTCAAGCGAACCAACATTTGTAATGTCATTTCATGAAGATGACGAACTGTCTGTCTCAAGAACTCAACTTTGATTTTGTTAAAATCAGTATGCATTTGTTGTTTAGTAAAATAATTTACTGTCTATTTTAAACGTGCTAACAAAAATGTGTGTTCAAACGTTTCAGATTTATGATATACAAAACGTTATAACGTACCCTGTATGCCGTCTACCTCTAGGTTTTTCACAAGCAGAAGTCTCTGAAAATAAATTAAAAACAGACAATTGTATATATCTTGTCGCATATGACTGGCAAACAATCGTTAGGATTTATATAATACTTACGATTATTGCGGGTAGGTGAAGTTTGTGTTTCCACAGTTCTTGATGAAGTGAACCTTGTGTCAGATTTCATTTCCCAAGGAAGTGAAACAGATGAGTAACGAATTGGAAGCTGAAGGGGGAAGCCGCTTGGCATGGGAACAGGGCAAATAGGAGCCAAATGCTTCTTAGAATTGTGTACATTATCTTCATTGATGTCCGCATCAAGTGCATTCTTTCTCAGATTGTACCTGGGATGAGATTTGACCTCAGCACCCATTGTCAAGCAAATTGTATCCTTGTCATTTCTCAGCTTCACAGACTTTTGGCTTTCAGTATAACGTGACTGCTTAGCTTTTGTATCGATTTCACCAGAGCTTGATTGACGTTTGCGTGTTGCACCACCAAACGAAAAAATAGAATCCACAGATGATAAACTCGTATTCAAATTACACGATGTAGTAAGCGGAGAATCAACAGTAATATCAGATGTTTTCACATGATCAGTTTCTACGTATGACAGTCTGTTGATACTGTTGCGAATAGGGAAATGATGACGTATGTCAGATTTCTGATTACTAAAATTTTCTTTATCATAACGGCACGATGATGATCGTAAAGGCATTGGTAATATTTCAGTGAAATTTTCAAATGTTTTAGTTTGAGACAGTCTTGAAGTGACTACACGACACAATGGTGTAGACAATGTATGATCCACTGGCAAACTGAAAAGGAACGTAAAGCTAATCGGTGAGAACATTTTTATACTATTTTTATAACAGAGGAATATTTAAAAGCCTATGAAAATGTGGGTAAAGGACACACCCCTCACTCATTTCGCCCAATCATCGGGATAGGGGATCATGAATGTTATGATTAATATCCTTAATTTTGGATAACGTTACGTAATCACATGAAAATACCAATACGTAATACCAATCGGACCCTCCTATCACTTAACTATGCATATAGGTCATAGCTATTATAATAATCCATAAATCCCAAGACATTTAAGATCAGTTCATTTTCTCATCCATATTTCCAATAAAACTAAGAGAGATGCTTGGTGGAGTTACTTTAATTTGTCGAAATTTGAATGGACGATTGTCTCTCCCTGTCTAATAATTTTATTCATTTTAGACAAATAGAATGACAAGAAAAAAGCCGATCATTATGGATATCACATGATCATTTGGATGGTGAAACGGAGCTTATGGGTGAAGATTAATGATAAATGGTGACTCGAACTAGTTAAACCAAGTATGGATAAGCCTTTCAAATTATTACAGACGGTGTCAATCCGCCTAGCCTATTCGCATATGATAAGATAAACAAAAAACTGAATTTTTAATATAGTTTATCGAGAACATGGGACGAACTAAAGTACGCAGTTCTAAAATCCAAGCACGTAAGTGTTTACACCTTTTTAATTCCAATACAATATTCAGCAACTCATTTAAGAGAAAAGGTACGTATCAGAGTATGTCATAATTTTTAAAATTAATTAACTACGATACTGAGTAATTTTCTACTTGTGAGGAGATCAACTTAAGATTTCATGAACAAAGTTCGTTATTCTTATTATTATACGAAAACATTTTGATGTTTCTATGTTCGTGATTCCTTCAATCAGTCAATGTCATTTTGACTAATATTTATATTTATTTCCACTTTATAACTGAGTGATGTATGAAAGCACCAAATTTTTGAATGTCCATAGATTCAGTAACTTATTGTCATTGAAAAAAAAGGAATTTAGCGAAGTAAATTTTCTTTTCGACGAAATCATTTACTTAAGTTGTACATTCATATTTATAGTTGTATGGTAAATATTTATCTATAAAAGGATAATAAAATGATTGCATCATAAATGGATTGGAGACACTTATTATGAAACATTTCCGATTATTTTACTGAACGAAAACAAATGTAAACTTTTAAGATGTAGTGATTTAACTTTTGCTGAATTGCTTGTTTTATAAAATGTTCGCATGAACCAATTTCCAAACAGCGACTGTCAAACTTGTAATTTAAATGAACACCCTCTATAATACCTTAACATTATCTATTTCAGTGTACAACCCACTCATAAATAACTTTTCTTGATGGATGTACTTTACTAAGTTAATGTTGAATATTGTCAAAATGTTAAAACTTAACAATAATAATTATATAACGGAGCATCTGAAAAAAAATACTGTTTAGCTTACCGTGGCTTATCTTCACAATCTGTACTGGTTATAATTGTCCGTTTCATTGGTAAAGTCGAAGTAATATTGTTAACATTTGGTAAAACGATAGAAATTGCCCTTAAGGGTCCACGATTATTTTGTTTTTTATTTCTTTGCATTATTCCAATAAACGTCCGAAGTGAAATTAATTTGGTATATATTCCAGTGAATTAAATTCAGATTTTTTTCTGATTCATCGCTTATAAAGCATTGCCTGTACCCACATACCAGGTGTTTAAAAAAAACAACCAATAGAAATCGACTTAATAGGCACAAGTTTCTTTCCTTAAATTGTATTGGCTGACACGAGTTTTGGCTTTGATTGTACTAAACTAATTTTTAATTATGTTACTAGCGTATGGATGAGTTTATTAATATCATAGTTTTTACATATGAAAAAGATTTCATTGTTTGGTGTTGTTTTTTTCTTTACCTAAAATCACACTTAAGCAGGAATCACTATAATTGCCATTTTTTAAAAAATTAACAATTTATCAATGGAATAAAAAATTGACCTATTTAAGTTTGACAAAGCTAAAAATATATGATTTAAGATTATTTTCAGGAGGGTCGTGGATATTATATTAATTTAAAAATTATAATCATGAGTCAATTGAAGCTAGACCACTATGGAAAATATGAGAGAATTGGACGGCCATTTGTCCGATTATAAGACTCCTAAGCAGTACGCATCCATGATCCCGCCTCGTGGGATTCGAACCCGAGACCTATCGGTCTCGCTCAATTTCGAGTTTGAGTTTAAGTTAGACATTAACACCGTTGGATAACGGCCATCTCAGTGGTCTAGAGGTTAGGAATCATTATGAATCATTAGTTAAAATGTTCGTAAATGTGTTTTGGCAATTTGAGACTTCCTGTAACAATTAATGTTTGAACTGTTAAGATTCACCCTCATACCATAGATGCTGTTTTGAATTATCTACTGAGCGAATGAGTAATTGATTACTAAACCAATAACCAAAACTAGGTAACTTGCCTATGGAAATAATTTGATGTCATATAGGCCCCCGCTTATGTCCACATAAATACTTAGCATCAGGAAAAATGCACTTTCACATCGAATTAAATAAACTAGCCACTAAAACGTTGATTGACTGCCAGAATACGATTAGGCAGATCACAATTAGTGAATTTAAATTCTCAGTTATTTTTAAAAGTCAATGAGGATTTCAAGAATATTTTTTAACATTTTTTTTCAAAGCTTTGCTTAAATTTGTGCTTCTATTTATTTTTAATGCAAAGACTTCTTGTGCATGAATACAAGTGAATCAAGTAGAACGAAAGATTACGAAGGATATATACTGTAACAACAAAAAACTAAACTAATTTTCCAAGAAATGTCAAAATAAAAAAACAACATATTTAAGATAAATTTTTATTCATTAAAGCTACGAGCTACATATGTAGTAGCGTAAAAGTATTTAACGAAGCACAAAGAAATTGTAAAAAAGTTAATTACTTGGTGGACAAATCTTAGAGATCATTTATAACCTAGTGAATCAATCAATGTTAAAAATGGTTCGTTATAGAGATTCGGTATTTCATTAGAAAATGTAAAGACATAATCATGATGATTATAACATTATACTTTAAAAATAAATATGTTTGAATAAATGTGTCAGTACTACAGAACAAACATTGATACGATGAAACATTTACATATGCATAAGTCCTTTTCTAGTGTTTTTCTAATATACACAAATTCATATACACCATTCTCATAGATCAAATTAATTCACTGTGTGCAAGCACATTTTTTTAGTGAATGCATAGTCAAACAAAGAACTATCCTACACATAGACCTAATCTGATACCTAACTCCCACTGATTCAAACTACTGATCCTAACAAGAAACAGTCTGCTACACTCAAATACTTTTCCAATCCACATATGACTAATAACGTATACAAATACTAACACGTGAATTCATTGATGAATCAGATCAGGCGCGTGCATATTGTGCATACAATACTAATTGAATATTCCAATTCCATTTGTTAAGTACTAGTGTACCAGTGTATACTTTATCAACTTGAACATCAAGTTATGTTTATTTCATGTCAAAAATTTACAATTTCCTCTATAGACAGAATATTGTGTGTGCATTACCCCTACCCACCCACCCACACACGCACACATACACACTGATTTGTGGAATTAAGTGAGAGGGAGGGTGGAAAGCACAATTACGGTTTAACACAAAGTTGATTTACACAAGACAAATTCTGGATCAAGCATCAGTCCACATCATAAACAAATGAATAGAACAAATGGAAAAATAACATAAACAATTTTAGATCAGACTGTTTATGAGAGGATGGGAAAATCATACACAAATATTGCACTTGGTGTTCCAGTTCAAATTTGCATTTGTCTATCAGATGCAATTGAACGAAAGCAGAATTGTCTCACGAACATTATGTTAATAAGATGGTATTCGGCTAGTTGATTACCTAAAACAACACACGTATGATATTCGTTTCTAACACACAAGTTCGTATAAAGAGAAGATAGGTTTCGAAAGTGTATGTTTACCCTGCAGACGAATGCAACAAAGTTGATGACCATAATCTGATCCCGGTTTCGGAACCATGATATACATTTTAACATGTCTGGTCACCCAATGGATATTGGCTGGTACAAGTTAACCAGACCGCATTCATTATATTAGGCGGTTTGTTTCTGTCATATATCATCGCAACTGAACAAAACAAAAGCCATCACACAAGTTTAGGTGCAGACAATCAATATGATTTATGGCTCAGTGATTTCGACAATCTCAGAAAATGGACATCTCACTATTCACGTTCAGCTACTAATGCAACTTTTCAAAACACGGCATTTTAACAAATGATGCTGAGACTGAAACCTGAGAACCTGGAGAGGACTGAGCACAAATGATTACTAGTGAATTGATCATCTGATTCACGTTGTTCCACGTATACTAGCAATATTCAGCAATATTGTGAAATCCTCTGGTAATCAAATTTGGCAATATAATTTGTTTTGAAATTGACTCGAATTATTGACTCATGAAGTGATTAGTGGAATATTCGATGTCTATTTGATAAGTGGAATGAATTGTAGTGTAATATCATTCAAGTGATTTTCACACATTTGTATAAAATATTAACAATAAGAACACTACATGAAAGTGGCACTGTGATGAAAAAGTGCATCATTTAAACAAGACATGTTTAGCCATTCAACCGTAAATGTGAACATGAAATAAAATCTCTGTTAAGTAAATCGATGTGTTCCATGATGTTTACGAAAGTAGTGAAGCTTAAAGTTTGGTAGGAGAAACATTCAGCTCGTTGTAGGTAACAAGTGGTTAATTGTGCTCTGGTGAATAATGCAATGCACACATGACACATGAAAAGTTTATTACAAGTGTTCTCTTTCCAGTGTAACATTTTGATGAAGTGAAAATATCTTATTGATTGAGTGAAAATACTTGTTGGATGGTGAAAACACATATTTCCCATGAACTAGGATGACTGTAAATGGGAAATCAAACGAAAGCATTCTCTCTTTCGCGTCATTGTCGACTATTAAACTGAATGTGGATTGAATAAAAACGTTAGTTGAATAGTGAGAAATAGATCCTGTAAAACTAAGAGTTTACTCTGATTAAACAATCATCAACTAGTCTATTTATTGTGAAAATCCTTCGAACTTCTCAAACACATTCCTCTCATCGACTCGCTTTATTCAGTCTATTTCGTGTAGAGTCATCGTTTGATCACCATACTTCAATGAAGTTGTTTGACTGGTGAGTTATCTATCATTTTCTAATGGGTAATAACTATACACCATATTTATGTGCCCCACAACTTGATCAACATTCATCATATGCCATAGCATCGATTCTATTTGTCTCCAACAGTAGCGGTCTACTCAGCTTGTTTCATTTCACTTATTTCATTCTGAGATAATCTCTCGATTGAAAGGAATTATTAATAATTACTAGATTAAATAACTCCGAAATGACTCACCTGTGCGATAATAAACTTTCAATAATTATACGTTCAGTTTTTCGATAATAATCATAATAATTTCATCATTATTATTATTCCCCATGGATAATTTAATTGATTTGAACGGGATGATAATTATACACTTGTGCAAATGATAAACAAGTGAACACTAATTAAATCAAATGTGATTGAGGTGTAGTCACAAATTGATATTCATCTGAATATGGTAGTTTGTGTTGAGAGATAATTACGCAACAAAACGTTTGTTCGCAAGCATACAGAGTCTGTAATGACTTGTTTATAGAGTGGGAATGAGAATGAGAATGAGCAATTATAATATACTAATTTTACAGAACAATTTGATTTTTACAATATGGCATCGAACGGAAATCGTTTACCATTTTGATGCTTAACAACACACCACAGATATTCTTTGTTTAAGACAAGTTGAAATCGCTCGCACATTTGTAGACTTTTCTATCGAAAATTCAGAGATTAGATTTGCTTGATTCTTAGTTGATATTCGAGTGGGAAGTATCACTAAACTACTTGAATAATACAGCATAATCACATTTAATGTAAACTTTTGTTCCATGGTTTTGCTATTTTTATTTAAGAATAATCGATTTCTGTCCTTTCGAAACGTCATTTCATGAAAGTAATAGGTGGAAACACATTACCGATTTCATCAGTTAAAATTATTTCCTGTCTGAATTTCAGTAGTTCCAGTGCAAATATAATGGAATGTTGATTCATTCATATTGTCCCTATTTATTTTTTTATACTTAGAACAAATCCCATAGACTATCAGATAAATCTATGATATTAAATCTCATCAGTAAATATGTATTTTTATAGAAACATGAAAGTTGATTACTTTCACTGAATAACAAATGCCTAATATGTATTTAGTCGTCGTAATGTGTAAAAGTAAATGTTGTGATTATGACTTGAAATACGGTTTCACTTATCACAACACTCAGCAACAGGTACTTTCTGTTCGAGACAACTTGTTAGCGAATTAAGTCATTCAATCAATTTCAGACTGACTATCACTAATCTTAAACACAAGTACTAAAACTAGGTCCTTTCTCATGAACTAAAATATGACCTGACGATGCACACAAAGTGACACATGGAAATATTGGGAAACCACTTGTGTATAAATCTTTCATTA